CCCCCCCCCTCCCAGGAAGCTGTCCTGGATCTGCCTGTGCTGTTGGAGTACCCCCACATTATGAGCTAAGGGCCGTTCAACACATTTTAGATCTGGAAATTTCGGTGGGCAAAAAAAGGGAAATGTAATTTTTGCGAGCAAATAAACTACTGGTTGTTGGTACCAAGCACAATAGCACCAAAAATGTGAAAGACTAACAGACCCTGTTCATTCATTTCTGCCGCCATCGTTGAGCATGAAGCAGGGGAATGCGAGCGAATCGCACTCCGATCATCCTGAACACATCAACAGCTCAATATTCGAACGATACTGCGTGGGAAGCTTGTGGATCCGAACAACAGCACGCTCCAGCACCGGCAGTTCCTGCCCTTACAGCACTCAGGTGACAACGGAACACCATTACTGTTCATGCGAGAGGAGAAAAAGGAAATTGGGACGAGAAACTCAAAGGAATGCAAAAAATTGCCGCTGGAACATAAAAAATTTGTTGGAAGACAAGAGCAGTAGTTACAAAACCTCGGCCGAAGCGGCTCGGCTGCCATCAGGAAAAACTTTAGCTTCTCTGCTAACGCTATTTCGTGGCGTCGCTTGCCGGCACTGCTTGGCACCTTGTCCGAGAGACTGAGCTCGGTGAATGGATGGCTTGGCTGTGCGGTGGTGGGTTAGGAGATTGGTCGTGGGTTGGGGATGCAGCCCGCGGTAGGAATTGGACACAAAACAAAGATGAACAGGAGAAACTGGTTGGGGACCCTTCCCCTGTCCTGGGTGTCCGTGACAGAAGCCGGCAACACATTTTTCTCGTCCTTTCCATTTCGTGGCGTCGCTTGCCGGCACTGCTTCGCACCTTGTCTGAGACACCTCCCGTCTCCCGCCTCCCTCCTTCCCCTTTCGGATGTACATGACTTGCCAACCGACATAGTATCTACGTTACGTAGCGGTTAAATCCAGCTACGCCGGTCCCCCTCCCCTCTCTTGAATGAAACCCGCTTCCCACCTGCCATATTCGAACTTCTGCCAATAACCGCCGGATAACCCTGCTCATAGGCGGATCTAGGACTGACTCCAGGGAAGGGCAGAGGGATGGAGGGCGACAGCTAATGGGGAGAGAGTGGGGCTTCTAAGAGAGGTGGGTGGAGGGAGGGGTGAGGAGGAGAGTCCCCTTCCACCCTGGAACTTTGCTGGGAATAGAGTTGTAATACTGCTACTTAGAGTTACTTTAGCTTTAAACTCGGGCTTTTGCAGCACTGCCGCCTGTGATCCTATCCGACATCAG